ACCTTCAAAAAATGTGAGTAGATAAACAGGTTGCATTTTTGTTGTTTGTGTGACTGACAGATAAGATCCTTATGTACTTGTTGTCATTCATACTGAAACTACCAACTTCTACTGCTTCAGAAACAGTAGTTATTCTCACACATGCTTTCGGAGATAAAAGCTGGAAATGAGATATTAAGAGCTTCCTATGGACTTCTGACACCTTCAAATCCTTCCAGCAACATAATGCTAATGACATCCAATGGCATCCAGAATCCCACTGAATGGTTACTGAAATATTATAAATAAAGTTCTTATTGTTTCTTAATTTGTGAGATTTACAACTGATCAGACTTATTATTTCATGTAAATGTTTTTGTTATTTGGGGGTTTGACTAATCTAATTCCTGAGGAGGAATGAGAGGCAAAAAAGTTTCCTGAGAAAAAAATTGCACTTTACTTCCTTCAACATAGGTTTTTTTTTTTTTTTACTTGCAGTGTTAGCTGTAGCCATCCTCAGGAGTGTTCCTGGCTCTGGCTTATAAATAAAAACACCAATTAAATTCTTGCACATTGTTATATTCTGTACCTTATACTGTAATATCTTTGCAGTGTCAAGTTGTATAATGTATTCTTTGACAGTAACTATTCCAACTGCAGCATTTTGCCCTTGAAATTCAGTCATTTGCACATATACTGTAGGTATATGTAAGTATACAGTATTGCATTAATAAGGTCGAATGGAACTGCAGCCATATCTCATGGCATAGTGTAAGTTTTTTTTTCTTCATCTACCTGTCTCATCATTATCATTATTAGTTTCTGGGCCTGCTCCTCAACTGCTTAATTTTAAATGAAGCATCTTTCACACAATGTATGAACACATGTTGCTAACAGAAAACACAAAACAACATTTATGTCTGATAAATGTAAACATCTACTAGAAACATCTACTAATTTATAACAGTAATTACTTCTCAGGACAGTAATGCCACCTTAATTGTATTTTTTATCACCATAAAGATGAAACATTTTAATGAACATCTGCAAACTATTCCAGTTCATTCATATTTAATTTGTTATGTGCTTGTGTGCAACTATGTCATTACTAGTGGTTTTTATGGTAGAGGTTAGGCACTCATGGAGCCACAGGACCAAGATTAAGAGCCTAGCACTAACACATCATTACTCTGACATAGCACACTTGTTAGCAAACAGCTGCTTATTTACACATCCTACATTTACAGAACATTAGTATTAGTTTGTAGTTGTGTTTCTGGCCATGAAGTGAATTTAAGTTCAACATTCCTTGTCTTTTAGCTATTTCTAGTCTCTACCTAGGCTGATTAGAGAGGGTTTCATTTGATTTTGTTCATGCCGAATGGCCCTACCATTGTCTTTTGGTTGTGGAAGAAAAAAGAGGTTGCCCAGGTAAAAAATAAGGAGAAACTGCACTAAATGGATGAAATCATGGATACTACAGTGCCAGGCTTAAAGGGCTTTCCCAAACCATTTTCTTCTCATGCATTGATTTGCTAAGCTGAACAATCAGAGCATTCTCCCTCACCGACGGGGACCGCCACTGATTCAACATGTTGACAGTAAAGACGGTTTCTCTGTAGGTTCATCAGCCTTTCACATTGTCATATTCTTTTCACATTGTCATTTGACACATGGTGGTTTTAAAGACATCAGTTATAGCTGCTTTAGAGTTTGGGAAAGATCATGGTGTATGAATAAATATTTAAAGAGAGTGTACTGTAACTGGAGGAAATACAGAGGAAACCATCAGTGGTTTGTTCTCAATTTAACTTGGCTTGGTCAGTTTATGAGTCAACTTGAAGCCAACATGTCCCTCATACACCCTTCTCTCCTGCTTAGCCAGTGTTCACACCCAGACAGAAGGAGCAGAGCACCAGCACCCAGTGAAAATTTGTGTTCAGCA